CAATCAACATATCGACGACACATTTTCCTATTTGGTTTTTTTTGAAATTGTTAATTTAAAAATAAGATGTATCTTTTTAATTTTATTAGGTAATTTATTTTGTCTATGATGAGAAATTAATGATATTTAAAATGTCTGCGATCATTTTTAATGGACGTTTCTATAATATTCAAAGTTGATGAGAAGGATTATTAGTACTTTGGAGGGGAAAGAATTGACAGACAATATGGTCTTTTGTAAAAATAGGCCCTTTGCCAGTTGATTCCCACACTAACATTGCAAAATGTCAACGGCAAAACCATAAATGTCTCATATTACTCTTCCTCCTCCTCCTATTTCACTTTCTTTTTAACACCCAAAAAAAGGAAAGAATAGAAAAAGAGGAAAAAAAAAAAAAAACAACTTGAATAAAGAATTAATATCCAATTCCAACATCTCATTCACACAAGATGATAGTGGTTGAGCAGTGACGGTTTGTATGGGACAGGAGTGTTTGGGTTTTAATTTGTTGTGTAGATCAACGACAACGATGATGCACATTAGTATAATGGTGGCAAGTAGTGGTCATTTGGAACTGGACATGGGGTTCAATTCAAATTTTGAATCGAATATATGATTGGAAAGTAAGTGTATTTCAAATTCTCTATTCCCACCAAGTAATTTTCTACAAAACTGAAATGTAATTATTCTACAAAAATGGTATCAAAGCTCATACAATTCAAACAAGGTCACCTTTCATGATCGAACCAATTGATGGTTCAATTTGTTAATGAATTATAATTAATATCAAAATGGAAAAAAAAAAATCTCTTTTTATGAAAAACGGGAGGAAATATTCAACAATCTTAAACATATAGTTAGGTTAATGTTTTCTATGGCAATATTTAAAATTCACCAAAAAAATATGCAATTTTTACATTACTTTGGTACATCAATACATAAAAATCATGCTATCACTTCTTATTGATCTAACAAGAATGTTAACCTTTTTTTTTTTTTTTAATGACAGGGAACCTATAACGGCTATTCTTCGGGTGCGCACTGGGTAAGTCCTCGGACAGATGAATAGTTTGCAAATCACGCCAGCCAGATGTATCGCACTAGGAAAGCCTTGTACGATAGGCTCGACTAAGAAAGTGTTGGTAGGGGAATGGAACTCCTGACCCCAAAAAAAAAAAAAAAAAATGTTAACTTATTACAAGAAAAGAGAATTTTAACGGTCAATTAGTCATTTATGCAAATGTCGCATTATTGTTTTCCAGCATTTCTCATATAACATTTTATGGCTTTAGAAATTGTAAATATTAAATACGGGCGTCAGTTTAGATGCTATTAAATTTACAACGATTTTAATTTAATCAGACACTAAAATTATTATCATTTTAAGTGTGATATACATTGGTTTCAGGTGATTATAGTCAACCTAGTAAGAGATAAATGTCATATTAATCAATATATAAAAGTTTGATCTATTTTCTTTAATACGTTGGCTTGTTAAAGGATAAATCGAGAGAATAATTACATTTCAGTTTTGTAGAAAATTACTTGGTAGGCATCGAGAAAATTTGAAATACGCTTACTTTCCAATTGTATATTTGATTCAAAATTCGAATTGACCCCCATGTCCCATTCCAAATCACCAATACTTGCCATTGTTACCAATCTGCATCATCATTGGCACCATCGTTCATCAACACAACAGATTTAAAACCACATCCAGACCCTCAATGTTCGACTAGTATCATCGATTTACACCACCCTCAGAAACTCAAATTAAGACACATAACTAGGTTAGCTCAAGTTGGACATAGCAGACATAGTTGTTCAAAAACCATCTAAAGAATTCTAAATAATCGTCACTATGTCCTCCTTTGCTACCGAGCTTCATCAAAGTGCTGACATTTCCCTTTATGGTAGGAGGGCTTGTGGGCTGGTGGTTGTTGGCGTTTGATTCGACGGTATTTGTTGATTTTGGTTAAAATTATAGGCGTTGGAAGATGGTGCGATTTGAATACAAAGTAACACATCATGTCACCTTTTTGTGAAATTCTGATTATGTTAAAATTAAAACGGTTTATATCTTTTGTGACTAAGTTTTGATAGATATTAAATAATGAGTATTTGTGTTAATTTTATGCTAAATATCAGTGACATAACATATCAATTCATTAGTAGGTAACGAAATTAATTAATATATTGAGACTCACAATAAATTTATTTATCAATGAATTAACATATCGTGTCATCCAAACCTCACATAAAATAAGCACAGATACTCATTAGATCATATCTAAAACTTTAATACAAAATGAAATATTAATTTTCAATTTCTTATTGCACGTCGATATTTTTCAATTTTCTTTTATAGTAGGATATTTGTAAAAAATTCATGTATAAATCCCACATCGATTATAGATGATATAAATTACCAACGTATAAGGCTTGTATTACACATCTTAATAAAATCAACATTTGACACTAAAATTTAGAATTTTAACAAAACTGTTGAATTTCGACATAGTCTAATTGAGGCCCTGTTTGGCACTCATTTTTATCAAAATGCATTTTTCTCTCTCTTCTTTTCAACTACACATTTTTATTAAAATAATATTATACGTAAATCAAAAACTTTTTCTTATTTTTCAACCACACATTTTCCATCAATTTACTATTCAAAAATACATTTTCACATAAAAATTCCTACCAAACACCCACTGAAAATAAGATTCACTATTGAAGACAATGAATTTGATAAGTTCAATTATCGATATCACTCCCCAATGCTATCTACCCGATAAAAAAGTGAGAAAAAATCTCAAATATTCTTACGATCATTTTCTTAATTCTAAGATAACATTTTTAAGTAAAAGTTAGTTTATACAATTGTCTAGAAAATTCCGAACAATTTTGAACGTTAATAAGATTAGTCTAATAATTAAATAAAATGAAATTATTTACGCTTAGATACGAATTGGCTTATAATTCGTTTATTAAGGAAATAGCGAATAAATAAATTAATTAATCATAATTATTTTTTCTTTCTCCCCTTCCAGCGAACACCATTTTCTATTTATCAATGATTTTTCATTCCCTTACACTGCGCCGCATCTACTCTATCTTTCAAACTAAAATGGCATTTCAAACTTCCTAATTATTGACTTCGCAAGGATTTGACTTGTCATTTAATTTTCAATTATAGATAAATATATATATATTTTTTACTTTTTTCTTTTAAAAATAAATTCTTTTTAGTAACCATGAACTGTTTCTTTACGGAACCTATATGAATGTCGCTCAACCCTTGAACTATTTCTTTTTCAGTAATCGTGAACTACCTCAGTGTGTGTATTGGATACTCGCTCAACCTATATAAAATGCAGGTGTCAGCAGAAGGAAGATTAATAATTGTTAACAAAGGAAGATCACCAGCCCTGGCGCTGAGGAGAAAGATCCTGTAATCACTGTTAACATCGTTGAACTCCTCAATCTGTTTTTTCAGAGTTCAAAGCAATTGTCAGATCACGTAGTTTCATATTAGCTAATGTATGGCAGATAAGTTTTATCATAAAGAAATTGATGGGCCCTTCCGTTTGCATGAATAGATAGGCTATTTAGTAGGTTCTTCAGATAATTAACAGATGCAGCAAAAAGAAATAGTGCAAAACTGAGAGTGCAATAAGAAAATGGGACATTTGCAAAAATGTTCAATTTTAGATATGTCAATTCATAAATGTCCGCTTTTAATAATCTTTGTAAGAGTGGCCAAATTTGATACCAAATTTTCTATTTTACCCTTAATGAAAAAATAAATAATTCCATATTGTACATGTCAAATCACAATTAATGTTAGACACAAAAATGCCGAGAACAACATTTAAAGTGTAAAGAATTATCATGTTTGGAATGAAATGTCGTTCTAGACATTTATATGTTGATAATAACGTTTGAAATGTCGAGAACATCATTTTAATATAACTTCTCAAAGAAACTTAGGGGTACTCTCGTTCAAATAATTGCAAAAATAGACATTGAAAAATTTTGGACATTTTTTGTAATTTCCTCTAAGAGAAAATATAGAGGGCACGCTACAATTATAATAGTCTAAGATAGCCGATGAAAGGATCAAGAGAGTATAATAGAAAAGAATTGAATTCATTGGATCCTTTTCCGCGTTCGAGAATCCCCTCCCTTCTTCCACTCTGTCCCGAAGAGTAACTAGGACCATTTAGTGCATGGGATCTATTTTCTCTCTCTCATTTTCAATCACACAACCTTCCATAAAATAATATTACACGTAAATCAAAAAAATTTCCTTCTTTTTCAACCACTCGTTCTTAAAAAAAAAAAAAATACTATTCCATACATTTTAATTTGGAAATTTTCAAAAATTTATTCGTATATGCAATTTTTTCACTCTCCGTGAGGTTTTCTTACTCCACCCAAAGACTGAATACTACTTAGTGTGTGTTTGGAAAAACATAAAATATTAAAAATAAATATGTTTTAAAATAAATAATTTTAAATAAAAGTTTGACGTAAATTAATTGATTTGAAAATAAAAGTTATTGCTCTAAAAAGTGCGTCTATTGCGATTATTGCTCTAAAAAGTGCGTCACGAATTAAGCAATCAACTGTTAAGTTGACTGTTTAATGCGTGACTAGGCACACCAAGATATGTCTAGACGAACTTTACCCCTTTTTTTTTTTTTTTTTTTTTAAACATTACATTTGACTTAGTTTATTAACTTTTTTTTTATTTTTTTGGAGAAGACTTTTATTTAACTTTAGCTTCAAGTTTTTAAATGACTTTATTCAATACAAAAATAAAAAATGACTTTATCCCATAAAAATTAGATAAGATTTAAGTCAAGATGTTATCTATATTATGTAATTAAAATTAAGAAACTTATTATTTTATTAGAAACTTAAAAAGTATGTATGAAATTCCTATAAATATGTTATGTAGAATTTGTCTAGTTGAAATTAAACGGAGAAGAAGTTCTCGTCAGAAAGTTGTCTAAGCAATCAGTGTGTGTATTGGATACTACCTCATCAATGGGCGGAATTCTAATGCCCCCTTGTGACCATTCCAACAATAAGCAACATTCAGGGGATAATTCTGACCCAAGTTCCCTGATTGCTGCTATTGGTTATGGTAACTCAATTAGTTGTCTCATTCGATGCTCCAGAGTTGATTATGGTGCTATTGCATCTTTAAACAGGAGTTTTCGCTCACTTATTAGAGATGGTGAGCTCTACAAATTGAGGCGGAAAAATGGTGTGGTTGAGCATTGGGTATACTTTTCGTGTCATTTGCTCGAATGGGAAGCCTTTGACCCTAGTCGTCGTCGTTGGATGCATTTACCTCGAATGAATGCTAGTAATTGTTTTGTGTTTTCTGATAAAGAATCTTTGGCAGTTGGCACTGAGCTTCTTGTTTTTGGAAGGGATTTTATGTCTAATGTGATATATAAATACAGTTTGTTGACAAACACATGGTCGTCGGGAATGAGTATGGATGCACCTAGGTGTTTGTTTGGATCTGCCAGTCTCGGGGAGATTGCAATATTAGCCGGTGGCTGTGACTCAGATGGTAATATCCTCAGTTCTGCAGAGCTCTACAATTCCGATGAAGGAACTTGGAAAACACTCCAAAGCATGAAGAAACCAAGGAAGATGTGTTCTGCAGTGTTCATGGATGGAAATTTTTATGTAATTGGAGGAATCGGAGGAACTGATTCAGTGCTTCTCACATGTGGAGAGGAATATAATTTGGAAACAGAGACCTGGACGGAAATCCCTAACATGTCCCCGGTGCGGACTGGTAAAGCAAGGGAAAATGACAAGCCTGCTACATCTGAAGCGCCACCTTTGATTGCTGTCGTAAATAATGAATTATATGCAGCTGATTATGCAGACATGGAGGTGAGAAAATACAACAAGATTAGTAAAGCGTGGATTACTGTGGGAAGATTACCGGAACGAGCCGATTCTATGAATGGTTGGGGTTTGGCATTTAGGGCATGTGGCGATAGGCTTATTGTAATTGGGGGTCCTAGAACTGTTGGTGAAGGATTAATTGAAGTCAATTCATGGGTTCCAAGAAAAGGTCTACCAAAGTGGGATTTACTCGGACGAAAGCGAACTGGCAATTTTGTTTATAATTGTACAGTGATGGGATGCTGAAGATTTTCATGTTGGTGTATCAAGCATTTTTCCTTGTACCCCGATAGATGCAAAATTGGTTCTGAGATCTGCTGTGTTCTTACTAAAGGGCAATTTGTCGTCCCAATGTATAATTTCATTGAAGATAGAATGATTATCCAATTTTACTCAAGATTTAATTGAATGTTTTCTTTGAGATAGCCTTGAGTGCAATTTTTTAAAACTTAACTGATATACTTCTTTGTTTGGATTGTCTTCTCCATTTCAAGTAACATGAGAAAGAAACAGTTTCAATAACTTCAAAGAGGATAGATTGGTAGGTTTCCATTGGCGCTTGCTGATGATTTTCCTAAACATCATAGGATTTGGTGTTCTGATTTCATAGTTCTTAAGTTTCTTTGTATATTTGTCTTGACGGTAGAAAATAAGGTCTCGATTCGTTCGAACACAGCACATGTAATGATCACAATTGTTCTCGCAATTGATGGATAGACTATAATATTCTGGTTTTCTTTAGTTATTATTTGCTAGCTATGTAGCAGCTTTCAACCATTTTCTTCATTATGGAGTTTCTGTTTTTTGCTATACTTGAGTTTTCTGGTGTATTTTTTATATGTACTAATATTCAGTGTTTGATATTCAAGTAATTTTAGGTTTTAGTGTCTATTTAACTTACCAGTCACATCAATGTAGCATTCAATGGAGTTGGAGGTCAATGCACACGGTGTAGATTTTGTTTAGCTGGGAATTGTGGAACTTGTTTGATTACTGTTTTAGCACTGTTAATGCTTCTTTCATAACATTAATGTGAAATATTTTGATATATATATATATATATTTGTTTTGTTTTTCAAACAGATTAAGAAATCTTATTTAATGTTATTAAAAAAGTAAGTTTTGCTAAGAAATTTTTTGTTTACCCCTATTTAATTTTCAACAATAAGGGGTAAATTATTGTTGAAATTAGTAAAGAATTTGAAAATTGATTTCTAGAAGTAGGCAAATTTTTGGAAAATGTGCATGTATTGGATGATTTCAAGAAGTAGGCAAATTAAGTAGGAAAAATTGATTGTAACTAGGCAAATTCAAAAACGGTATACGAGTAAAGGAACAAAACAAAATATTTTAAACTAAGAAACGGGACTATATATTTGGGAGAAGAAAAAATGAAAACTAAGTTTATATAAATGAGACGGATGGATTATAATTTATCCTTGTACAGGCAATGATAGATTCCATGTTTCTTTGGATGATTTTTGTCCAAATGTATTTGCCTTCTTCAAATACGAAAGATCTAAAGTTTCAACATATTTCAGGTGGAAAATTATACAAATCAAACACATTTAATTAACAATTCCCAATAAAATAAGTTATAGACAATTCAATTTACTGGAATTCGTTTTCTTTCCATCCAAATTCCATTTTTGCAATCAAACGAACCCTTAGTTCACTGCATCATTCATAATAACATGCCCCGACTCTTTCATTTTCCATCTCTTGTCTTAGCATGTCAATGGGTATCCTTAGCCATGTAAATTACCACTACTCTTCCTAGAATGAAGTTTTTCATCATTCAAATGTAAATTTTGATTTACCTATAATAAGCTAATGAGTTGAAATAATAACATATATGTTATCATCATCTGCATCTCCTTTAGTTTTAAATTCAAACATAGACAATCCTATAGAATTATATTCTTCATTTTCCATGTAAAATTTGACATCAGCAAAATGAGGTGTGTGTGTGTGTGTGTGTGTGTGTGTGAATGTAGACGTTGATTATATGTTTGTCTGGTTAAAGGTGTTGCTTTATCTCAATTGAGTGGGTCTTATGGCTTCTTTTGAATATTGAAAGAAGGATAACTGAAACCTGAATTTATGACATATTATTTCTAGACCAAGCTATTCATATGTCTCGCGTGGCTGTTATTATATTAGTATCTTTTTGGGACGACATTGTCGACTTGATGAAGAACATTTGGATTTTTGTGGGAGATTTCTTGTTTGTATATTCAATATTCAGTATGTGTTTACAATTACAGAAACCTTGAAGTGACCAATGGTTGCTATGCTATATGTTCATGACTTGGGAATAAGATTTGGAATGCAACTATACCAATGTTATGAAAACCCGTATGGTGTGGTCGATATGACTAAAAAACCGGTCAAGATATACCAAAAGGAGTTTTAACAATTATTATAGCTTAAAGGCTTTGAGTTGGTCGGCAAGAGGCTAATTCGGCCAAGATGTCAAATGTGTTGAGCTATTGATGAACGTGCTTTCGTGTAGCTTTGGCACTAGCCAAGCATGGTGTTGGGCTCTAGACCTTCAGGCCATTAGGCCTTTTACTTTTCTTTTGGACAAGATTTCATAAGACATTAAGTATGACATTTCAGAAAACAAGTTTCAAACTTCACAAATCAAAATTTTTTATTAAAATTTATTTATGATTTAGTTATTTAATTAATTAATTTATTAATTAATTATATTTATGTCACACATCTATAAAATTTGATCACAAATTAACAATTTAATTAGTCACTTATTATTTTTTGGTCACAAATCAAAAATTTTGTGTCATAAATTATTTTACGATTATAATTCAAAAATTTTGTAGGTCACATTTTGTTCATCAATCACAAATCAAAAAATTAATTAGTCATAGATTAATTTTTAGTTACAACTTATCAAATTATTAGTCACAACTTATTTTTTGATCACAAATAAAAAATTTTATAAGCCACATATTATTTTTCAGTCACCAATAAAAAAATTTATAAGTTACAGATCACGAGTATTATATATCACAACTTATTGAACAGTCATAAATTATTAATTTTTAGGTTACATATTATTTTTTGCTCACTATCTTTTTAATTGGTTATATATTTTTTTATTGATCACATATTAACCAATTTATTGGTCACAATCAACCAAATAATTTGTGACCACCACTTCAACACTGCGTTCAACACCACCACCATCGTCACCGTCAAAATCACCACCACATTGATCACAAAATAATCAATTTATTGGTCACAAATTTCAATCTACCAATAAAATCATCACAAACACCCACACCCCATCCCTCCACTCCAAAGCATTGAACCACCGCCAACCACCACCAATGACATCGCCCACCGCCACCACCGTCGACATCACCACCACTACTGTCTATATCAACAAAATCACCACAACTTCCACACCCAACAACGCCATTGTCCACCTTCGTTCCAACAAAAGTCACATTCACTACCAGCATCCGCCAGTATCTCAAACAACCGCTATCACAAAAACTCAACTCCATCGACAAATCCACCACCATGGCCAACAACCGCTACCCCATTCACTGTGTGAGGCTCCTTTGCCATCAACCATCACAAATCGCTATAGGGAACATTGCCAGCAACCACTACCACAAAACTCACTTTTACCCCAACAATCACCACCATCATTCACTGCGTGAAGCACCTCTGCCACCATAGCACTGCCACCATGGCAAATCGCTGCAGGGACAAAGTAGTTGTAGCGGCAAAACACCTTTCGATCGGCAATAGGTAAATCACTATCGACCGACGATACAGGTGCCTCTGCTTCGGTGTCTGCGTTTTCCTTAAGGGACTAGAGAGAGAGTGAGAGGAGAGAGAAATGTAGAGAGAGAATGTGGGAATTAATTAGGATTTTTGTGATTATTTGAGTATATAATATATTTAGTAAAAATATTTATTTTAAAAAAAAATGTTGATTAAAATAAAAATATTTGATTTTTGAAAGGTTAAACTACTCATATGATTTTAGAATTGTGAATTTTAAAGTAGGGAATTACGTGAATTCCACTTTCTTTTCCTTGAAAAGAAACATACATAGTTGAAAAGGCTAAATATTGGGCTATGCAACTCAGGAATCGAGACCTTACTTTGTAATTGCGTAAGTGGAAATTACATGCTAACATGTGCTTAAAAATCACAATTCAAAGACCAGGTAGGAAGTTTATTTGTTCAACTATCAAGTTTGATGTAATTATTTATATTAATAATCATATTATAAAATTATTTATATTAGTAATAATAGTATAAAACTATCCATCCCCAACCGTCCCCAACCCCTAAGATTATACCCGGATCGTCCTCTCTCTCTTCACCCTCATCTCCATTCACCGTCAACCATCTCTTTAGTTTATTCCAGTGCCGTTGTGAGATCGGCATCACTGCAGGAGGATCGGCGCCGCTGCAAGAGTACGGTGCCTACTACGAAGACCTCTGCTCCAGGTGCGCGTCGTAACTCTAGACTGGTGCTAGATTCCCACAGCGCCACCACTGTAGAAGGATCGGCGCCGCTGCAAGAGAGCGGAGCTTACTACAAGGAGCTCTGTCCCCAGGTGTGCCGCGCGACCTCTTCCCATCTCGAAAAACACCGTCGAAATACGTCCAACTGCAACACAGTGACACTACTGCAGGCGCAACTTTGGAAGTGGTGGCTATGGTTGTTGGTGTAAGTGGTGATGGTGTGATCGCCACCTGTTTTTTGTTGTATTGCAAGCAATGGAGGCGGTCATGGTGCAGTACAGGTGATGGTGCAGGAGACGGGGGTGGTGGTCATCATTTTTTTGTTGTTGGTGGTGATGTCGTGATGTTGGTGGTGGCAACAATGACGAGGTGAGGGCGGTGGTGGCAGCATTGTGGTGGGTGTTTGATGCCTGTGACCAACTATTTGGTCCTCCTGTAACTAACTATTAATTAGTGATTTTAAAATTCGATTATTTTCTGACTAAAAATGTAATTCGTGACCATCAAATTTGAAAATATGTAACTTGTGACCTATAATTTTTTTGGATTTGTGACCTATAAAATCAATAGATAAATTGTGATTTGTGATCTTGAAACAATCTGTGACCTATCAAAGTTTTGATTCGTGATTTCGAAATAATTTGTGATCAATTAATTTGATGATATGTGATCAGTGAATAAATATGTGACCTATAATTGTGTACATGTGACCACTAATTGTATAATTGTGACCT